CGGGCCAACAGCTTTATCGGTAAGCATACTCGTACCACACCGTACTGGATAAGTATCTGTAATCATACAACATATAATATTTTTAGAGTACCCATATTTGATAGGTTATAGTTAACCCTGTGTTGACTCTTAATTTTGAATGGGTAATGTTGTATTCTGGTGACTGCACAGCAAAATTCACGATTCTGTCTAATATGATGCCACTTGCTATGCACTTGAAAATCGGGGAGCAGTATGTGAAATGTTTTTACCTCAAGCAAATAGAAAGTTGTGATCAACCAGACAAAAGAGTAAGACATGTAGTTGCTATTGATATTTGCTTTAGGAAATTCTCCATCTGCATGAATCCTCACATTATCATTGAAAACCAAAAATGAAAAAAAATAAAAATAAATAAAAAAGTTAGAAAGGGAGGAGATGACCAAATAGAGATTGTTTATCATCTCAGGTAATGTGAAGTATACTATTCAACCTAATGGTAAAGTATATGTCGAAGGACTGGTGGGAAATGTTGCAATGTTGAAGGATATGCCGAATCCGTTTGAAATGAAAGTTGAACAACTGTGTCCAAGTGGACCCTTCCATGTTACCTTTGATTTGCCTGGACCTGTTGACCCCAGGCTATGTTCTCCCAATTTTAGGCCTGATGGTATCCTGGAAGTTGTTGTCAAAGCCAAGAAACCATGATTGTTGCCTTTCTCAAGCTTTGTTGGAATCCCATGAGCTGTGTTATGAAACTCTGTTGTCATCAGAATTTGCCAGATATATATATATATATATTAAATGTATGATTGTGTGTAGTAAAGAGAAAGTAGTGTTTGGTGGAGTTCAACTTAGATCATATGATACTCACCAAAACAAACTCGTTATCATACCATCTATATATATGCACTACAAGAATTTACACATTTTGCGACCACTTTTACCGACTAAAAAAATTTTGGTCGCAAAAAAATGACGTTTGGCGACCAAATATTAATTAGTCGCGAATGATCATTAATTTTGGCGACCAAATTTTATTGGCCGCAGAAGGTTATATTTTGGCGACCAAAAGATATGTTGGTCGCAGAAAGTGGTATACTTTTGCCGACCAACTACAAATTTGGTCGCGGAAGGTCACATATTTTCTGGCGACCAAAACTTTGGTCGCGAAAAACTTATTTTCAGCAACCAAAAAAAATTAGTCGCCAAATTAGTACTTTTAGCGACTAATATTTTAGTCGTCGTTCATTGAGATTTGGTGACTAAAAAAATTTGTCGGCGAAAGAACCTATTTTTGCGACTAATTTGAGAGTTTGGTCGCCAAAAGTTTGGGGGGAAATTTGAATCGTGGGGCGGGAATTGAATTTTAGAAAAAAAATTACAGATTGGGGTAATTTTCTACTTCACACACTATTGATGCATCAATCGAACCCAGATTGGGGTAATTTGGTTTAACTCGTCTCCTCCCATTCCCTCTATGTCTCTCTCTCCCTCTCTGTTCTTCTTTCCTACCCTCCCTCTTGTGCTTGCTCCCGACGCTGGCCTCCATTTCTGCCTCTCCCCCATTCTCTCTCAGTGTCTTCAAGTCGCAATCCTCCCACTCGCAAGATAGGGTTTCCGATTGTGAATCGCGACACTGTGCTTCAATTGGGTCACCGAAGGCTAGGGTTTCCACCACCACAACCACCGTCATCATCATCAGCTTCCTCAAATTCTACATTGACGCCGCTGTCTTCTCTTTCTCTCTCTGCTTCGAACCCCCATAGGAGCTCTCTGGTACCTCTCTCTCTCTCTCTCTCTCTCTCTTTCTCTCTATGCTTCTCTATGCTTCAAGTAAATCGATATTTGTTGGTGGAATTGAGGTAATGGTAAAGACTGATTATTGTCAATAATCAGTCAAGTAAATCGATTACAGAGTGGAATTGAGGTAATGCTTTTCCTGATACTTTGAGGGTTGCTTTGCAATTATTGATGTTTGGTTGTTTATCTATACAACGCAGGCATATCTTTACTTTAGGGTCAATGAAGATATTGAATTTTATTTTATTTTATTTTATTTTTTAAAAATTCTGGTTATTGATTATCTTATCAGATCCAATTCAATAGAAATAAACTAGGGGCTTTGACTACAAAGCACTTGGATTTTTGATTTTGAAGTTTTTCATGTGGAATTTAGGTTTCTGTTAGGGTTCTGTTATTGGTATGTTGTTCTAATGTGTCTGAAACTGAGGTTTTTTGTTTACATCATAACCATATAGTAGGAGTAATTACATAACCTTCATTTGTGTTGAATTCTGTTGGGTTCCTTTGAGAGATGCATCAATTGCTTTGTTTGGTCCAGTGACAAAGCATAGCAAAGGCAGAACATCATCAAATATTGAACTTATTACTTGCTATCTGGTTTCCTACTTTGTAAAAGCTGTAAAAGCCTTCTAAGCTGGGGTTTCTTCCAAATTTAAGTCATACCATGCATGTTTCGCTTGCCTGCTAATATGTAAATTCTAATTTGAATCTTTTTTATAAAAAAAAGTTGGTAGCATATTCTGTTGTTTGTACATATAGTTTTCCTTACAAAGCCTTATTATGATTCATGTGCTTTGCTAACTGGCAAGTTCCTTCCACTCCTATGAAGGTTTTCTCCAACAATATGGGAAAGAAATCTGAGCCCGTCATAACAAAATGCAAGGACAGCGAAAACTAGACAAAAGTTACATTTAAGCCTGACTTAGCAAAATTCAATATGACTCATCTTGAAGATGATGTTGTTGCCCTGATGAAAAAGCGGGTGATTGACTTGGCGGGGGATGCCTTGGAAAGACTGTGAAGGTTGAGCTTAATGGGCAACGTATTCCAGTAAAGTCTTTTCTTGACTATGTTAATCTCTACCTTCAATCTGCCTCCAAAGCCAGACTAGATGCCCTCCCAGGGTTTTCATTTCAATATTTATTGATTCATTTTACTTCTCATAATTTTAATCAAAATACTATTCAAATTCAACAATTTCATCAGGATTGCTGAAAAGGTTAATGATAGGTGGGAGATAGTAGTCCTTCCAAACTTAGGTTAGGAATATAATTCTATTTGTTCCATTTTTTTTGCCAAATTAATAAACATTTAAACTTTTTAGGATGAGCCTCATCATAAAATTTTCACTAATATAAATATTCATCTTTGAATTGGGCATCATTGGCTGATCTTATCTGGAATTTGTCCAGGAGAGTAGTGATTAGTCGCCCAATTGGCAGCATAAAGCTCTTGTAAAATTTCATTCTATTGGTGATCAAACACACAATGGAATTGTCTATAAACAGGATGGACTAAGCAATGGGATTGCACAATCTATGCAACCTGAAATCATTCGAAGATAGAATCAAAACAATCTGGTATTCAGGGCAATGAAAAGGTAATGGTACCTTTTGTTCTGTTTTGTTCTGACAATTATATATCATAGTTTGAGTGAGATATAGTTAATGAATATGTATCACCTATTTTGTGTCTTAGATTGGATCCTAATGTTACAATTTCCAAATTGATTTTTGGCTAGCTTGCTAAAATTTCTTAGTTTTAGGAACCTTTGTATGGATTAAATATTTTTTATTAAAATTTAATTTTGGGATTAGTTAATTCCCTGAGAAGTTATCACTTCGCTGTTGTTTTATTGATGCAACTATCTGTTTTTTTTTTTTTCTTTTTTTCATGTTTCCTCTCTTGAAGTCGATTAGTTAGTGTGTTTCATTTTTGTTCTTTGTCCATATGATTTGAAGTTGAAACACATATAATGAATGCTTTCTAGGACTTGCATATTGTTAGAATAGAGAAAAACATGTCTCTGGCAGCGATTCAGTAGCTCATGAGTCGGAAATAAATAACTTGGGCTTAGAACTTGAGAAAGAACGTGACAAGTTAGCAAATATTCAGCTAAAATTACAAGTTCTTCCATACTCTTTCAATGTCCAATTGTAATATCACCTTTTGTCGTCTTAAATTTCTCGCCTGATCTCTTTTCCATTCCTAAGAGGAACTGAAGTTGAAATAAATTCTGTCAAGAGGAGCTGAACTTATCAAAAGTGGACAAGAACAAAGTGAGTTCTGAATTGGGTTCCTTTCTATTGGAATTGATGGCTATTTTGGCATTTTGACATTATTTATGTAAAGTTGACCATAAATTACTTGTTACTCATTTTATCTTGAATTCACCAATTATTTCTCAAAATAGTTGTTACCTTTCTCTGTTGCACGCGAAAAATAAAAGATCATAATCTAACTATATTTCAAGGATCTAATATATTCTCATTAGTGAACTTACTATGACTATATATCTTGATTGCTATTTTCTTTACAAAGCAAGTTGAAACTATAGCTAAACTAAATGTGGATAAAAGTGGTGAAGGGTTTTAAGTCAAGTTTTTTGCTTAACAAAACATCACTTGAAGTGCTGTGTGCATGCAAGGATTTTGTACTCTGTAGAATCCGTAAGCATAGTGCTGGGAATTTAGTGTGGGTCTTCATGAACATGAATACTGGTACTGTTCATGACTGAATTGTACTCTCCGTTAACATATATGTTATGTGTGTGTATATGATACACCCCATGTACTGTGTACATCATTAAATGTAACCTTCTGTGAAGAGTTCTATGATTTTAAAACTGTTCTTAAGAATTGATCTAGGGTTTTGGGCAAAGAAGGCTACTGGTTTATTCTTTTAGATTGCTATTGATTGACAGTAAGAAACACTATGCCAATGACGTTTCCACTTCTGGAGAGTTTCTTTGTTCCATTATTTTGTAAATAAGATGGTCTTGTTTTGCATGAAAACTAATGATTGGCTTTTATAGTCTAATATTGACAGTGGTATGGTTCATGTTTTCGTAGGGACAGAGAAAGGCATCCAAATGGAGATATTTTTCAGGGTAGGTTGGCCATCATAATATTGATCCTTGTAATATGATTCCATTATTTATTTTTCCTTTTCAGACATGAGAGAGCGGAGAAAGGCAGGTTAAATTTTTCAAAAGAGTTGTGTTAGGTTTTGCATTTGCTGAACGAGATCATTCAATAATGGAGGTTTATACTATTTTTTCCCCTCTTAAAGTTTCTATTGATCTGCTTGTGCACAGGAGAAGGTTGGGCTTAATGCCAAAAAAAAAAAATTAACATTATTTAGCAAAGAAAGCACATTTAATCATAAGAATGGATAATACAAAACAAAAAAAAAAAAAAAAAAAATAAAAAAAAAAAAAGAAAGAAAAAGAAGAAAAAAAGAAAAGAAAAAAAAAAGAAAAATAAATAAACATAAAAGAAATAATAAAAAGATAATAAGAAATAATCCAAAATAACAATCAAGAATAAATCTTATGAATTAAGGTTAAAAAGAAAAAAGGGAAAGAAGAAAGAAAGGGAAGGAGAATTAGAAAATTAAAAAAAACAGAAAAAATACGAAAGAAATGAATAACAGAAAAGAAAAAAAAAAAAATAGAACGTAAGGAAGGGGGAAAAAAACAAAGAAACGAAAAAAAAAAAAGAAGGAAGAAAAGAATATAATTAAAGAAACGACGATAAAAAAAAAATGAAAAAAAAGAAAGATTAATATAAAACAAATAAAAAAAAGAAAAAAAAAATAATAAAAACAAAAAAAAAAATAGAAGAAAAAAAGAAACAAAAAAAAAAAATAGAATGAAATAAAAAAAAATAGAACAAAGATAACAAAAATGAAATCTCAATCTTCTTCCTTGCATGCTTCAATTTCATTCATGCTTTGAGCCATGCTGTGAGCCAATTTGCGTTGGCCTTTGTTTTGGCCTCTTAGCCACTGAAATCCAGTGAATTTTCAGTGGCTTTGAATGTGTCTTTGAGCTCCAAAATCATAGAGGGGTGACCCTCTCACACCCTCATTCTCTTTACTAGCATTGTGGCCTAAGGGACCGCTATTTTTCAGGCATTGAAGTCATGTTTCAGGTCTGCTTCTAAGGGTTTTAAAATCTGCCTAAGGTCTTGTCAAGAGCCCATTTTTTCATATTTTTATGTCTTTGATGGCATGTGTTAGAGCATCCTATTCAAGGCCTTTCAAAGGGGCTTTTCAATTTGCATGTTTTTAGACAATTTTTTTCAGGCCTATTTGGGTGGGTTTTAGGCGTTCATACTCCATTTTCCAGAGGTGGTTTTTGCCCTTTGTGTTGTCTATTATATGGTTGTAGAATCCCCCCTTGCATGGCCTTCCAAAGGAAGCCCTCATTTGTGCATGCATTGACTGAATTTTAGTGGGTATTTGGGCATTGTTGAGATGTTTTACTCACTGTTTTTGGCTGGTTTGTGAGTCTCCATATGCCTTAAATATAGGTGTAGTGTAAACCATGCTTACTAGCCCAATGTTGCAATGTTGTTTTAACCCTTCAATGTTAAGCATTTTTTGTTCATTGATCTTAAAACTGATAAATGTGCTTATTTGTGGACTATGCCTAGCTCTGTTTTTAGCCTCATGGTCGAATGATGTTTGTTTTGGCATGCTTGTAATTCAATACCATATAGCTTAACTTTAAGTTTGAGGCCCCATTGCAATGCCGTCCTGAGGTGTGTTCATGTTTTGAGGTCTTTTCATCATATTTAGAGCTGGTTTGAATGTCTATATTGCATGTTTTCATCTCTTTAAGTGTGCTTGAGAGTTGTGTCGGGTGCCTTGTTTACGCGACCAATGAAATGAACTTCAATTTTCATGCCATGTTGAGCCATCATTTTTAGGCCAATTTTCCACTATTTCAGACCTGCCTAGGGTCCTGTTTGGGGTTGGTTTTTGGCCTTTGGTGCATTGCTTTGGGTACCTCTAGTGTAACGTACTTCACTAGTTTCGTACCTGAGCCCCTTAGCTTTACATTGGTGGTCCATAATTTGCATGTTTCGGGACTATATTTCATACTATTTCAGAGCTGTATCATAGTGTGTTTGTATGCCATCTTTCATCCCTTGCCATGCTTTGGTAGAGTGGGGCCTTTATGCCTTAGGTTCGGTCCTTGGTATTCGTGCATGTGTGCACGTATTTCGGTTGTCTCACATTTTCCATCTAATGGCCACTGATGGTGAGTTGCTGAGGTCCACTCATGTTAGTATAGTCGCATTTTACATTGTGTATGCCATTTCAATTCATAGCATTGTGGTATGCTAGGATTGTATGTTAGAGCGTTGTGTATTGCCTTTATAGCATTGAGTATGCTAAGGTTGTATGTTAGTCGCATTGTGTATGCCATCGTCATTTTGGCATTGTTGTTTTGGGATTAGGAGTTAGCCCAAGCACGGGAAACGAGGGACG